TACGAAAAGCGCGCGCACGCGAGGGTACATTCGAAAGTACGCGAAGGGATCCGGGCTTCGAGGGTGGGTAGGCGATCGAGCTCTCGAGTACTTGAGCACGAGCTGAGAAGAAATGCGGGGAGAACAATGGACAGAGGTAACCAGGAGCCGGTGCTGCGTCATCGTAGTGTGTCTGAGCTCGTCCCCAGCTCGTCGCGGTAACGAGATGCGCGTCGAGCGCTCACGGAGGACGAGGACATGAAGGAGGAAGAGGAGGAGGAGGAGGAACGAGCAGGAGGAAGGGTGAGGGAGGCTCGCTCACCTTTCCGTGACCCGTCGTAAAAACCGACCACCCATCCACCGGCTTCCTCCTTCGAGACTACGCTCGCTTTACTCAACGAATTATGCTGGCGACCGTGCTAACGTCGCCAGTGATATCAAATATCGAGTCGGCCATGCGACAATTCTTCCTTACTGCCGCGAACGGTATTTTTATGCTTCGCCGAATATGCATCGTTCAATACAACGAAATAGGAAAAAAATCAACGGGCGATCGTGGAAAAAGTGTCGGAAGAAACAAGTTCTCCTTTTACATACGAATCTCTCTTTCTCTCTTTCGAGAGAGAGAGAGAGAGAGAGAGAGAGAGAGGGGGTGGGGAGGGGATAATGAGAAAAGAAATTTACGAATTCAGAAGGACTCTAGCTCATAAATTTAAACATCGATGTTTTCTCTCGGCAGCGTAGCGAAATAGATCTCGATATATTACTTTAGTATTTACATCTCGTTTTATATTCCCGATTTTTTTCTTTCCTGGCCTTATATACAGGAATTTCTCAAAGAAAAAGCAACGAAGAGAAGAATTCAGGTCGCCTCACGAGAACCTCATCAGGAAGCAACGCTTGTCGCGGGCCTCGACAGGCAGAGCATGCCGGCATTGAGAAAAATTCATCGGCAGCTGCTTGATCTTTCCGCGTGGTCTCGCACGTCTTAACGGACAGCAATTCTCGAGCGATGCCCGCTTATTAAACGACAGCGGCGTTGCCGACAAGGAAGCAGAGAAAAAGAGAAAGAGAGAGAGAGAGAGAGAGAGAGAGAGAGAGAGAGGGAAGGAGAGAGGGAGAGAGAGAGAGAGAGAGAGAGAAAGAGAGAGAGAGAGAAAGGGGAAATGCGAAACGGAAAGGTAGAGGAAAGCCAGGCGGCGCACACTTGGCTACTTGGCATTTACATCCATTTCGCACAACGGCACTTCAGTTCCTATTCTTCGGCTTTAGGTGCCTGCATCCGTGTACGAGTACGCGCGCCGCGTTTTTACGTTAGTTGGCAAAGCGTAGGTACGCGAGCGCACGCGCGCGCGCGCGCATTCCGTGAGCTCGTATGAAATGAGACGGGAACGGGGGAGAAACGGAAGGCAAAAAGAAGAACGAAGAAGAGAGGATGAGGGAGAGAGACCGAGAGGGCCGGCGGGAGGGCGAGAGGGAGGGGGAGAGAGAGAACCAGAGAGACGAGGAGAGAGAAAGAGAGAGACAAAAGGTAGAAGAGAGCTTCAATGTGCCGTCGTGCGCGATCGTGCGAGGTGAGGGCGCACCTGGACCTTCTTTTCCATGTGCGCATAAGGGCTCTCACTGCCTTCTACTCCGCGATTCAACCACCAAACAGACCGCCTCCAGTTACGTGTCCCGAAGTTCCTTCCTTCACCCTGTCTCCTGGGTCTCTCTCTCTCTCTCTCTCTCTCTCTCTCTCGCTCTCTTTCTTTTCTCTGTCTTCCTTCATCCGCTTACTTACTGCGCTTATTACGCGCATCATCGAAATTCGCGAGACGGACGTAAACGAGAAACGCATCCTGTCGCGAGTATCCGCAAGCGTGCATGCGTTCGCGTTCATCTTTCCAATAACGCGAAATAAATCGGACCGGTCCGAATTGAAAGATCTCTCATGGCCGCCCGATATTTCTCCCGATGTCACGATTAATAGCGAATTATGGCGCGCGCGCCCCTCTTTCTGCGCCTCGTCTCGAAATCAAATCCACTGTCGCGGCGATCCATTGCTCGCGAGCGACGACTTACACTCGACGAGGATGTAAGGGCGGCATTGTGCGCCGCACCGTTTCGGAGAGAGCCCGGGCACAATGGCGAGAGAGACCGAGGAGAGAGCCGCGCGTACCCGATAAGCAACCGCAACTACGAGCGTAGGGTAGATCTCGGCGCGGATAGAGCCTTATTTCATCAAAGGGACAATAACGAAAGCCACGATAACGCGGAGAGAGAAACGCTCCCAACGTACTATGCATGACGCTCGATGACCCCCCTCCCTCCTCTCCCGTTCTATGCCCAACCTCCCCGACGCGCGATCATGTGCTGAGCTGTAAAAACATATTACGCGAGGATCCTCTTGTTTTGTTCTCTTTTTCTTCTGCATTCCGTGTACCAATAGAAGTTTAAATTTGGGCGATTAAAAATTGCGAGATTTACGCTAGATTCTAAGGACGATATTTATAGTTGATCACCATAAATGATTCGTACGAAGTAAATAGAGGTGCTGGTTGAATAATTATAAATTTATGAAACCGTGATTATTTGTTGATGACAATGTTTGTGAATCTATTTTTCTAAATTTCTAAATCTAAATTTCGGCTCGGTTATCTCCTTACCTTTGACAGTAATTATTTATCGCCTCAAGGATATTGGTCCTTCAAGTTCAACGGAATTTATAGGGTTAACGTGAAATGAAATTTCCACTTAGGAAATGACTGAAAGAGCTGGGTGGTCGTAGCAATTATCTCTCCCCCTCTTATGCCCAAAGAATTTTATTACAGAAATATTGTGTACTTTAATATAGAGTGGGAAACAACATCGTTTACAATCACTTAATTTTGACTAAAATCTTACTTACCTACCAGCCGCAAATTTGCAAATTAAATGCAAGTTATATTATTCACGAAAAATATCGCTTATTAGCACGATATTACTGACACGATATCTGACAAAAGTACATATGTTTTCTCTCGCTTGGGTTCGACTTTTTTATTAGTTTCGCGGTTGAAACTCACAACTATGAAATGCATTACTTTGCGAACTCTTTTCCTTCCACAAACACAAAATAGTGCCGTTCTACAATGTACGAGTAAGTTTCATTCGTGTTGTTCCTGATATAACCTACTAAAAATAATATCCTGTGACGTATACATATTCAGCGATCAAATTGCTTTTCCGTGCCGAAATTTCAACTCTACATCGAACCCGCAAATTCCGTCGAACTTTAGGTCTCGGAGCCAACGGATTTCGAGACATTACGTTGTATAGAGCGCCACCTTGACGCTGTATAAATGATTACTTGCGACCGTTACGTCGTGTCGAAGTGTAACGAAAGACATTTCAGAGCTATCCAATATCGAATTATCTAATATTCACTAAAATTAGTAACCTTCCATGTAATAAATGATCTCATATACCTTTCTGAGAATACATGATGTATACATGATGTATTGGCCGTGTCTCCGTATTCTGCGTTCTCCATTCTCCATTCTAGATTCCTAATTCAGCATTCCGGCTTCCGGCTGCTCCATCGTAGCACTTCGAATATTTCCTTGTGGCACTAACAATTACGAAGTACAGACATTGACACCAGCACTGACATTCACGTAGACAGAATTCAAACAGAGAAATGTGTGTTAATTAACACGATACCGACCTAGAGCCCGGCTACTTTACGCGGGACGCGCGACGAATTCCCAGCGAACGTTTCGCAATGACAATATGGCCGTTGCATTAGAGATCTGCTCTTTCTAGCTGCACTTTGTTGCATTTGCTACGCGTGAAATAAAGTAGGTACATATTACGTAAGATCAAGCAGATATTTGCTCTGTATTTATTAATTAAGTAAATATATATTCACAATCAGACGAGAAAGAGGAAGAAGGACTGAGATTCCGAGAAAGTACAGAAGGTGTGGCTGAAAAGTACAGATCGTAGTTCTATAATTGGCCATATCGGCGGGGGGTCGCACCATGTTTTAACAGATGGATTATTTAATTTATCCGCCGATCCGAATTATAGCCAATATATACGTACGTATTTCACATCGTTCTCCAGATGGAGACATAAAGCGGCAAACGTTTATGGGAGGATATGCGACGCGCTCGAACAGATCGAATAATCGGTAAACAGTGTAAAGTCACGCGCGTTCCAACCGTCGATCTCCGACGACGCACGACATTCAGCATAGCCGAAAGAAGACACAACAATCAGCATCGTCAAAACATTGCGAACGTTTAACGGCCGAGCGAACAAACATACCACAACACGGCATATGTGTTTCGTTTCGTTGGTGACAATTCCCGTCGGGAAATTACGATATTTCGTCGACTCGTCAAATATTTAATCAAATATTTATCGGCTTTTATCGGTATCGCGTTAATTAATACTCGCTAACACAACCTAATCCTCGATCGAGTTGTATCTACGCGAATGTCAGTGTCGATGAATATTCGGAATGCCAAGACAAAGTCAACCGAGTGCTAGAGTCAGCAGGATATTAGATCGAGAAGTCTAAAAGGACGCAGGACACTGAACAGATACGTGTATTTTTAGGTATGTCGAATTATTTATTGCACAGGGAGTTTCCGGATGTGTTTTAACGAATATTTGACGAACTTACCGAGAATGTAGGATGTAGAATGTAGAAATACCTAAATCGAAATTTAGGCTAGCATTTATAGATCATTCTAACAAGACTCCTTAAGTCGCAAGATAGCCCCTTTTATGACTGTCGTCTGTTTCATTTCTATTTAGCTTTGTTACTATATTGAAGTCGAAGTAAAATAATACGCAGTACTATTGGGCACAACTGTTACTTTCGCCCATTTATAAGTCCTTGCTCTTTTTTGCCCTTTTTGAATTTCCAAGTCCTAAGAAATTTCTAATCTCGATGACATAAAAAGGAATAACAGGATTGTATACAAAGGAATTTTATTCTATTTACCCACTGATCCAATTATTCGCTCATATTAATTATTTGACACATATGTGTTCCACATATTCTATATTCAATTGAAGAACTTACATAATTCATATATTGCTCATTCGGCTTAAAGATAACGATTAAAAATATACATTGATGACCAAATATTAAATTATTTTTGTATAAATCCTCCTTCTCAGCATGGAGAAAGCGGCGGTAAATAATTTATATAGCATTTATATAGCATCAAGATGGAGTAATAGCCTGTAACTGTAAATTTCGAGATGTTCTGTTGATCTATCAAGTTCGACGGAATTTACAAGGTCAATCAATGTAGAATCATCCAAATTTTTATTCGAGTTACGACATAATTGTTAACTTTTACGAGAAACTTCCACTGCATTGGCTGCACTACGATATTTCACTGTGATGCTTTGTGCCAATTGTTATTTATAACGCACTCATATCTCGATCAAGAAGAGGACTGTGCAATTTCTCAATATTCGTACTGATGTCGGCTCGAATTCTTCGCGAGTCATTATCTCTAAACTTTAATTAAGTAATCATTGTGCGTGGTGATTCATTGCAGACTCGATTTTTTAATTCCGTGTATTCCGTGTTTTGCATTCGTTTTGCACGTTTATCTATTTTCTTCAAATGTCTAAGAGAAAGAATCAATCACCGGATAGTAAAGACGCACACGTACAAGTCGTTATTAATGTATAATAAGATATATAGTGATGATAATATATAAAATCAAATACAATTGTAAAGTAAATTCTATCAAAATAGACTTAAAGGAAATAACAGAACTTATTACGAGAGCATCTAATATTACGCTATATAGGTACACATCAAGGTTTGCAATCCAAAATCGAACATTCACGATGTTCATCGCCATCCTCCTCGATAGTTTCCTCTGCCTGTCCCTCGTGTAGAGGAATAATTCTTTAACATAAATTGAACTGTCTTGACCAAACTCGCTTTATATACGAAAATGTTTATATAATAACCAAGAGACCAATATGGAAAACAACAATAATAACAGGAGCAGTTCAAGTCAACTCGATACAAACATTATTCATTTATTGTGAGAAAAACAAATGAGAAACAGACGTTAGATTGTTGGTCTTTACTTACCAACATTAGAATATAATTACGTACCATTCCGTGCTGAATATTGTAGCTTTGCTGCGCGTTCTGATAACTCGAGGCGTTCCGTGCGGATTGCGGCTGATGATTACTGTAATGATTACGGGAGTGCGAATAATCGTAGGGCAGATTCCTCGGGGCGAATCCGGACGCCCCGACGAATGGTCCACGCATTTGACTCGAACCGGCATTATTATCGTAATTATAGCCCGACTGGTAACCGCTCTGATAACCTGGAAAACAGAAAAATATGCGGTGCGTTAAGCATAGGACGCGAACACCTCGCGCGTACCTCGCAAGAGAAGTCACTAGAAAGTCACGAGATAAGAGCAAAGTATAATATCTCCCGCCGTCTTTTACACGCAGTATCTATTCCTCGAATGACGACGATCGAACGTCCGCGAAGATCGTCGTTCGGTCGCGTATAAACGATGTTTCTCAGGTTCGCGCTGCTTCTCAGAATACACAACAAAGAACATGTATAGCATATATATCATCGGCTGCTCGGACTCTGGCTTAACCCTTTAATAAATATCGCCACGAGTTCAGTCGCGTTGAATGCGTAGTTATTCTCGATAATTAACACACGCGAGGTCGGGGGCGAGGGAGGGGCAAAAGGAGACGGACAGGAGCAATATAGCCGCCTAGATGAATGGGAGCGTGCCGGCGCGTGTCCCGTGTTCTCAAATAATATGCAGCGTGCGTAGGACTTGGCAACGTCACTGGGATAAGCAGGCGCCGCGTGTTTGCCTGCATCGTGAAACGTCATAATAGCGCTACTGAGCCTGTCGTTAATAACGGATTTTCGAAAGCGCGCTTCGTCAGCGGGGGTGCGAGCCTACACCTCGTGGAAGAGCGTAACGCAAAATTCGTCCGGGTTGATTTGGAAATTTCAGCCCGCGAGGAGACTCGAGGGAAAATAAATGTGCGACGCGCAACGGAATATGCGTGGTGCAACCGCAGAGGGGTGGAGAGAGAAGGGTGAGAATTTCCCGCGTTACGAGTGAAAGAGGAAACGCACGACGGAGTACGGTTCGCGTTATTTTGCGCTCGACGTTGCGCACAACCCTCTTCCGTTCCCTGCCATAGCTCGCGAACGTAGCGTTCTCGAACCGTCGAATTCTCTCCCTTTCTCTCTCCTACGCGCGTTCCTCTCGTTGGTCGCCGTCGTCGAAAAAATTGGAAGCGAGATATAATGATCACGCTGACAAAAGGACAAAACGGACGCGCGCGGGCGCACCCCCGCCACGTCGCGTCGCGCGGCTCGTGACTCCCCGTTTGAATATTTATAGCCTGGCTTTCGAATTGCGAAATGGTTGATGCTTTATGGGAGCCAAGGGGGAATCCGGTATAAGAGAAGGCGCAGACGAACGCACGGGGACGGTGGTTTGTTTGATGTGTCGCGCGCGCTGCGGGTGGAAATCAATTTTAATTGAATTGATTGCGCACGTGGGGGGGGAGGGGGAGGGGGCGCGTACACTCGTCTATCTCGTCGAGCGAATTCGCATAAACTATCACGGGACAACATCGCGGCCCGGGCCTGACGATACTCGATGTTATCGCGCATGTTTCAGTTGTCGATCACCGCTCCGCCGAGATCTTTGCGGGGTGAAGGTGCGCGAATATACACGTGCTTATGCCAGTCGCGATGATGATTTTTAAATCGATCAGTACTCTTTTTATCATTCCCTGCAATGCGCGGAGGTCGGAAGGACATGAAATGGACGAAAAACGGAAATTCAAATGTGCGAAAGATACGCTGATTACGAGATGATTCGACGGCAGCAAATTAACAATCGTTGGCCGTGAAGAGCGGCAAAAGAGAGCTGAAGAGAATCGAGGGTTTCTTTACGTGTTCAGTATGTGACGGTGACGAGGACAACGACGATGACGACGCCGGCCGCAATTCGCAAAGTGGCGTAACTCCTTAACCCTTCGGGATTCGCCGGCCGTACGTACAAAGGCTATCACTGACGCACGATAATCGTATAGTTTGGTTCAATCGAGCTCGTAATGGGAGGCGGCAAACACTACGTCGATATCATCGAGGGTCGAAGGGTTGATGGTGCGCGCGCGCGCACGTCCGGATACCAGTTATAGACTCCCATCGTGTCTATGCGTATCCCCTTTCCCTTCTGCCTAAACCCCGGAGTCTTTCCTCCCCCGGAATTCTTTCGCGGCAACAATAACATCCCCTGTAGACTCCAGGCGGCGGCCCGCGTTGTCCAACCCCCATGGTAATCCTCACCTCACCCTCGGATAGAGGAAAAGAAAGAGGGTTTAACAGTTTACACGTCGGATCATCCCTCGTTATTGTTGCGTTTATGATAATAACGCGCCGCGCTAGCGCGCGCGCACGCGCGGTGCTTGCCTCTTGTACACATTAGAACTTATCAATAAAAAGTGTTTCACAATTTTTGACTCTAATTGTACAATGAAGCAATTATACATAAATGGGAAAATTATTTCTGCAGAAAGTGCTACTACACGGAGTTGCTGACGATAATTTCACACGTATATTGTACATGTCACAATTTTATTGTCATTAACATCGCACCATTAACAATAACCTTTACAAGGAACATCCGCGAAATGGTGTCTCCGATTTTGACGAAACTTGGTATATTTGTAGAGTAATCAAAAATAAGAGACTCACACTTTTTTTTTATCGACAATGGCTCAGGTTTAAGGGATGAAATTCCTCTCAAAGTTTCATCTCCTCTTTATCCTATCTTGATAATTATTGCAGATAGGAAAGAACTTTTTAAATAAAAAATATACGGTTTTTTGCCGTACAATTTATGCCGATAAAAAAATATGGGTCTTTTATCTTTGACTACTCTACAAATATACCAAGTTTCGTCGAAATCGGAGACACACACACACACACACACGCACACACTTCGCGGATGTTTCTTGTTAATATGTATGTAAATGGCTTTCCTGGCTATGATTATTTCACTAGGCGATTATAGTCACAAATACCAAACTTTGATCTCCGTGTAATTCGTAGCGAAATTAGCATCTCGTTGTTCCCGTATATACGTCTCGAGATTCTCCCCGTATTGTCCAGGATCGAGTTTCGAGAGAAATGCAGGTGAATACAGAACCCGCCGCGCGCGCCGTTGAGTGTCACGATGCGAGGGTCGAAGCGCCGAGAGCACGAAGTCTTACGTCGACGGGCGCTTCCGAAAGAAATCATCGGTACATGCATGCGCGCGTACAGTCCGAGTGGCGGGCGAATAATTAGCGATCGTGAAAAAGGAGCGCGCGTCCGATTACGAGATGGAACTTCCGGCAATACGAGCGAGAAGCGAAATTGTATCGGAAAGCGGACAGAAAAGCGGGCAGGGTCGCTGAAAGAAGGACGAGGAGAGCGATTCCCACTCGTGTGTGTGTGTGCGGTATGTGTGCACACGCGCGCGTACGCTACGTAGAGGCACCTCCACTCGCCATGGGTATTGGATTGGATTGGATTGCCGCGTCAGCAGTACAAACACTCGAAACCTCGATGTGGGTCGGCTTCTCCCGTTCCTGTTTCAAACTGAAATTTCCCGTCCGCGCGTTCGATCCGCGCCGCCCGCACCGTATCCGAAGATGTAGCACCCAGTCTCCCCTCCTCTCTCTGCGCACCTATCGTCCTTATCGAGCTTATAAATGACGGGGCCAGTCGCGACGTGTCCCTTATCTCTCGCCACTTTGAACGACGGTTCCTCTCTTTACACGCACTTTCGCACGTGCTCATCGATCGCGTGTTTCGATGCAATCCGCCATCGTTGTTATTTGCGCGAATTTATCGTGTCCGGATAAATTAACACGTTGACTACTACGGGGAGGCCATCGACGGCTCTGTAATGTTGCGCATCTCAATTTATTTACCGTATTCTAGGTGATTCAGACTTTAATTGAGCATGAAAATAACGAATGGAAATTGACGTAGCAATCAGCACGCTAATGTAAAATGGCTCAACTATCGTCCATCCAGAGAATGCTTCAGATTTTTTATTTTTTTTTGTTTTGTTGAGCTAGTCAAGTTGGATTGGTTGCTTCGTTTCCCGAAACGTCACTAACAAAAAAAAAAGGGGGCAAAGAAATAATTCGACTATACGGTCGAGTGGGTGACGATATTTGAAATAAAAAAACGACCCCCCTCCCTCTCTATCTCTCTTCCATGATATAACCCGGAGATATCGATTTTCCACGTTCGCGTGGTCAACTTTGACCTCCATTTTTTTCTCTTCCTCCCACTCTTTTTTTCTTAAGAAATCGCTATCCTTTTATCTTATGTAAACGTTATTCCTGTCAAGCAGTTCCTCCGCAGTCTTTATATGCTTAGGTGGGTGTAGGTAAACATTGTACAGCACGTGTAAGTAAAAGGTAAGCTAAATAAGCGTCTTCCCCCTTTCTCCCCGCCTTGTCCTCCTTTCATGACGAGTTACGCGGCCGTAGGAGCGTGCGTGTGCAGCATCCTCTGCATACGCACGCGACGCGAGCAAATTAGTCAAAAGTCCGAATGCCGATTGTCGCGCGGAGAAAAAAGAAAAGAAATCCTTCGAATACCGTCTCCCTCGGTGAGATTTTCCGCTCGCGGAAAATGCGCGACGAAGGTACGACGGGAAAACCGACAGTGAATTTCAATAGCGTTCTACCTCGCTGTTATCGCGCAACGCCCGCGAGCACTCAAGATACGCGAACGCGCTAATTATCCCGCCGCCGATTTCGGGCCTTCTTGCTCGGCGCTCGACGATCGAGCGCGATGAAGCGTGCGCGTTACGTCGAAAGAAAGTAAAAGGGTTGTGAGGAGATGAAGCTCTGGAAATAGGAAGGATAGCGAGAGCGGAGAGGCGCAGGGGAGGCTGGGAGCGCTGGGAAAAACGCGCCCTCGTAAACTACCTGGCTGCGAGAACAATGCGTACACCCCGATGCGTTCACCCCCGTAAAACCCGCCGACCGGTACAAGATGGCGCCACCGGGTCAAAGTACCACTCGGGCGATTTCTGGCGGCTTTGTTCCGCCCACCACTCGTTGGTAGGGGGGCGGCAGAAGGTGGAGGGGACCGCAGGAGAGAGAGAGAGAGGGGGGGGAGAGGGAGAGGGAGAGGGAGGGAGAGAGGGAGAGAGAGAGAGAGAGAGAGAGAGAGAGAGAGAGAGAGGGAGGGAGGGAGAGGTAGAGAAGGAGAGAGAGAGAGAGGGAGGGAGAGGTAGAGAGAATGTGTGTGAGAGAGAGGGGGAGG